ACGGTGATGCGCTCACCAGCCATTATGCCATGAACGGTCGCGTCCGAGGGGCTGAATTGTCGGGCTTTCACAAGAAAGACATTTATGCTTACCTTTGGCATGGATGCAGACGAAACCACAAAATAAAACATTGTCAACTGAGTCTTATTCATGATGGAACATTGTGATACGAAATCGGGCGGTTTTCGTTCTTGACTCAAAAGTGAAGACTTTATTGCGTTTACTTAGATCAGGCGCAGATTCACTGAAGTTCTGACTTCCGTTTATCCTCAGTATTTTCAGGCAAGTTCAGGAAACCAAACACGCTACTGAAATATAGAATTTCGGCCTCGTAAAATAGAATTTGTCGCCAAAAATGGCAAAGAGCCAAATTACTGAATTTATTTGGACAATACACACTGAAACACGGTGATAGGATTGAAAAAACGTTGTAAAAACGCAAATCCGTCCTGTAGATTAATTTGTACTCACCAACCCTGAAATTAATGCGGACGGAGGCTGGTGCCCCCTTGAGGAGAACGCAGGGGCTTCCGTTGCACGGTGAAGTGGTGACCCTTCTCACTTCTGCACCACTTGAACCTGGCATGAGATAAAACAAATTGAAAAGGCACCATGTTTCAAGATTTGCTCTATTAATCAGGTTTTGTAGGCGACATTTTGAACTGTGATCAATGACAGTGAACATTTGCTACATCATCCACCTGCCAGGTATCTAGTCTGCTATTGATCAAATATCGGTCTTTGAACTTTCACAAATGTCCAACTCCGGTATTTTGCAACCGATCGTTTTGTAACTAAAAAATTGGATATTGGAGGAGAGGATAGTAATCCATTGTCCAGTCACTATTCGTCCCTTGTTTGTTCTAAAAACACTCAGCTTTAGGAGTGGTATATAAATGAAAGCGCGCATGTATTCGCCTCCCACATTTTAACATCTGGCGATCACACACATTTCGAGTATTAGCCAGTAAAATTAGCGAATAAATTTTACACCATCTACCGTTGCTCACGAACGATGTTACTGAAAATGTCCCATCTGAGTACATCCAGACTGAAACCATCATTTACCGGTACGACTATCTCGTACTTTGGGCGCAAATTCAGATCCGGTGACAAAATTCTAAATGAACAAAATTAAGAAATTGTTCCACGTCGGGCTAATTTCAACAAAACTCTAGCGGAAAATTTAATTGGCAGTCGGGATGGTCAAATATATTGAGATAGGTAAATTATTCCTGGGCAAAATTTGGCAATGTAGTGAACAAGAAATATTCTTTTACAAGTACAAGCTTACCGCAGTCCACAAATTCTGTAGCGTCGGTGACTTTCGTCGCGTTTATTATCACGGAGTATGCAAGCAGATAGACCAGACGCATAGCGTAGAATTGCAGGCTCAAGTGCTGAAAATTCTACCGCTTTTATGTTGTTCAGTTCGCACCCAACAAAGGTCATGCAGGATAGTGCACATGTTCACTTTGATTGTTGTTAGCTGTTGTGAACGGGGTATATCGAACGGTAGGTTTCCAATCAAATCAGCTGAACGCATAAATAGCTCGGGCTGTTCCAAGACATGCGAAAATGCTCAAAACACGTGCTAAGTTAGCCAATGTTCTGTGCATTGAATCCTACCAAACCTATTTGATATGCAGTCTGGTTTTGTGGATCAGTCCAAGCCAAGTCACTTCATGCCACAAAATGTGCTCGAACTGGATGAATTTGAGCCTCTTTGTTAGTCAAATGGTTAACCTAATCTCGGATGTAATTTACTAAGCTGTGGGCAACAACATTGCTCTAATGATCGCAGGTCTTTTGGGGGTTTTTTGAATTTCAAGTGAAAATAGGGCAGTTGCTTTTTCACTTCATTACTAAAGAAGTGAGCAAAACTCTGTGGATTCCGAAAGCATTCTTGTCGCTTACAAAGTCTCTATTTCACATTAGCATGCTGAAGAACCAGATTCTTAAAAGAAAATTAGCCATCGTTGCTTCAAACTCGCCGATGCATAAATAAAGCATCGCAATTTCTTAACACATTTGTGTAGAGAGCGATTTATCAAAGGCTTACATGATAGACCGATAAGGTCTCATTCTAGACTTGTCGAATCAGCTTAAAATTTAGGCGTTGGGCTGATTAGTTTGGCATCCATGCCATGTGCAGACATTTGTTGGGATTGTATGAAATCGAGTAAATTTGTCGCATTTATTCGGCTATGGGTTCAGTTTTGTCTCACACCTGGCGACCTGCCTAGTCGGACTAAGTGAAGGGAATAATACAGCTCATCTTAAGGTGCATCCACAATTTTTGGTCATCAAAGCCGACATCAGTAAATATAGCTCGTCAAATCTCTAAACGCATCATTTTTTAGTGATCTCCAGTTCTTCAACAAAGCCTATGTTTCGATTACTCGATGCGCGCAGATGTCACATCAACCTAAATTCCGACTCGCAAATACTTGGTCGCAGAACCGAGAAACACCGGCAAAATAACTGGCCTTTGCTGGGCACCTTGGTGTACGCGAAAGCAGCGAGCAACGATAACAAATTCAATTAGTGGGATACCTGGTGATTTGTAATTGAGAGTTCGTCCTAAGAGTGAAACAAGTGTATGCTGAAGGCACCATACGGTGGCCTCATTCTTATCAAGAATAAACGTTACTGTTGAGCTCACGAAATTCAAGGGTTTCAGTGCCCCTTAAATTGCGGTGTTTCAGAAGGGTAGACATACGCACCCATGAACACCATCGTTCGGTAGCATCATTGCCTCTCAGTTAGACGGGATATGGCACCACCGTCGTCTAGTCACGTTTTTCACCTAACGATTGTATCTTTGAAGTATGAAATCGCTCATGGGGTTTCATCCAGACTGTGTAAAAATTTCTCCCATGAGTGGCTTTCAAGTCGACTTCACAGCGAGAAGATTTATCAATTTTCTAATCGTCAGCCAGTTAAACCGAGAGATAGTATGGACCATCATTCCTGATTTCGATTTTCGCCTGACATCCAACCCCAAACGAATGTGGACATTCCAAGGGCCAAGAAGTTGGTATTGGTGGTGTTGTGAGCCGAGTACGTATTTCATCATGACGTGTCAGCACTGCCCACATCATAAATAATTTACAAGCCCGGAAGGGGCCAAGTGAAACTGTTTACGTCCGACTTGCTGCTCATGAGGCCGAATAGTCGAGGATCTAGCTTGTCTTGGCTAGAATACGACTGGGTAGAGCCAGACGATGTTGGTGTCCCTAACAGTCCGAAATATAACACTTCGGAAATAAAAGTAACGTGTGGTCAGATTACTGGTGTAGAGAAACGCTGATCTGAAAGTTCACGGACATTGCAATGCTACACATGGATCATGCTGAAACATTGGGCTGCTATCAGGTCTTACCGTCCAGGTCAAACGCAAAGAACAACTGGTTTCCGTTAAAAGCACGTGCTAAATTACGACGGGGATATTTGTGTGTATATTAATGGCAGCGTTGTTTCGTACTCCTTGCGTTAGGAAAAATCAAATGACAAACTGTACAACACTGTGCGCACAGCTTTCAGAATGGATGAAAAAACTTTCTGATTGTGGGCTAAATCAATGTGAGCATCTGAATGTTATCGAATAAAGTAGAAACTCGAGTGGACAGCAGTGTGTATCACATCGGATCACACTGCAAAGGAATGTCCATGTAACAATTTTATATACCAGTTTACGTTGGTAGATTTATTCTGCGTGTTCCCGAAAATCCTGCGTCTTCGTGAACACTTGATACGAAACCGAAAGAAGAGCGCATTGCTGTTTTGAACGGGGGAGGCTGCGTAAATCTGTTTTTATGTGTACCAGTGGGCTAAGACTTTCCTAGACGGCCACCAAGAGTATGGTTTCTGAAGGTAAGTAGACAGTGCACATTTTAATCTGGATGATGAAAGCAGGCCCGTGGGAAACTGAGATGAAGCAGATTGCGCAGTCAAACATGCAGAAACATAAAAAAACATCAATACGTCTTCCGAAAAGTCCCAAGATTCAGGATATCTGTAAGTTCATAAGTTTTCTTTATGAACATACGTCTATGAAATCCTAGATTCACTAGCAAAGCAGATTATCCAAAATAAATGAATGAATAGTCCTTCGTGTTCTTATGAGAACACAGAGGTTATTTGCAGACCACAAGCAAACGAGTGAAAGACAAGCACTTGTCCACGCCTCATTTGTCAACTTTGTCCACGAAATCTAAGGATTGTACCTCAAGGAAACGTTCTTACGAACCACAGAGAAAGAGGGTTTGTCTTATTGTTTAAGAAACCCTCAACACTTTAAATAAAACGACTGTCAATGTTTGATTTTTGCTGCTCAGATCAAAGGTATTTGAATGAACCACATAGATTACGTTTACGTAGAACTAAAGTAATGTTTTCAAGATGGTCTGCTAAGCCACTTTGTTCTCCGATGAGAATTGTAGAGGGGTTTCTCTTTAGTTTTGTTCTGATGATTACGCGGCTGACTCCAAGTGTCCATAATGTGATGTGAACCTCGTTGCTCTTTTATCGAGCTGAAGGTTTTTAACATGTGCTCGGGCATCAGACGAAAGTCCAGCTGTTCAAGAGCTACGATAAAAACGCTGCCCTTCAACCGACAGCCCATTCATACACTTTGAGTGTCTGTTGTATCTCTTCACCTTCGCAGGTGCTACCGGGTCACAGTTAGAAGACAAGAAGGCGGCAAAGAAAACCGCATATATTGCAAGTACAGCATTTCATTTATATCATTCACTTGTGACCGTATTTCATGGTCAATCTGCTCTTAACTGACCTGTGCCTCTCCTGCACACCCACAACGGCTCTCTACGGGTTGATTTCTCTGTCATGGAAGGTCATCTTTGCGCTTGGTTACGGAGTGCACATGTCCCCTTGGCAATCATGCGGGTGTGAAATGTATGTGCTTTTTCGCCCTTGCTCCGTCAAATGATGAAGTCGGACGTGATTCAGACGCGTGGGCTTACTCGTAAGGCACTGTTTCACCAAAGGTTTGTTCCGCTGCGTAGTAGGCTGATGCGTGGCGTATTATCTCTCTTTTCCATTTGAAACTGTTTTCGGACTGCTCGAATCTGATCGTAGTTCTTCCCCTTTGGGTTGGCTTGAACCCGGCTTGGTCGTGAACTGTGCGATGCTGTGATGTTCTGGGATAAATTGAGAGGTCGAACATTTTCATGGTCCAAACAAACCGTGTCCAACAAGATGTCCCACTGGAAATATTCTGCTACCTCCCGGCATTGAGCTTGCATGTGGTTCGGTCGTATTTGATTGATACGTCTCGTCCGATTTTCCTTTCCAACATTGATCTCGTAGATCCCATTTCCGTTTTTGCCCAGGACGGTGCTAGTGGACCATTTTTCGGGAGCTTGAATAAACCGCGTCACCAGTGTGGAAGTTTCCCAGTCTGTTTGTCTCATTTGCTGTGTTTCTGGTGTCCTCGCTCTTTGGTCTGAGATTATCGAAACTCGGCCTAATTTTTCGTCCTAAAGTACATCGTGCGGGAGATTTTCCACCGAGAACGTTTGGGTTTGGGGAATGTTGATACGTCGTCAAAAAGGTGCAATCGTGTTGCCTTTTCTCCCACTTTAAGTAGAGCGCGTTTAAAAGTACCCGCGAGTCGTTCGTCCTACCCGTTGGATTGAGGATGATAAGGCAGTGAAACGTTTCCCCAATACCATTTGTGTTGAAAAATTCCCTGAAGTGTTTTGAGGGGAAGTTTGTTCAATTGCCAGCCACAACCAGCTCCGCATTACCGAAATACTGGAATAATCTATCCAACTCATTGACAGTAGACTGTACATCAGTATCCCGTAAAAATGAAAAATCTGGCCATTTAGTGAATGAATCCACAAAAATGAAGTAGAACTGACCATTGCTTGGATCTGAATAATCTTAGTGCATTCTTTCCCATAGTTTCTCGCTTTTCGGCAATGATTGTTCTGAATATTTGGGAGTTGCCTGTTCTGCCATTTGCAACGTTCACATTTATGACAAATTTGTTCTATATCTGCGCGGATTTGAGACCAACAAACGAAACTTCTCGCCCGGAATTTCATACCAAAAATATGACAAAATGCCAAGCGGTAGCAGAGGAGCCCACTAAACTTTCTCATGTTTACAAGAGCTACCGCTTGGCATGACATGTGGCTACTGACTGAGTATATTTGACCGCAAGTGATCCGGTGTTCCACTGGTCTGGCACATACTATGAAGTACTATGAAGCACTACCTGTGTGTCATTGATGGTGGAAGCAATCTCTGAACACATCCATTACACTTCAAAGAAAATCACTGGAGATTGTGGAAAATTTTACACACATCGGTAGTTGTATTAGGTCTGACGAAAATATGTATGATGAAATCTGAGTACAAATTCCAAATCCCGAATCAAGTTTGCTTATTTGCATCCCCTGTGGCGTCAAAAAGGCATCTCACTTGATCTCAAGGGTCGTAAGTAATAGGCCACGTAGGCGCTGTGTTTTGTGTGGGTTGGAGACGTGGCCTCTGCAGATAGATGATGTATGGTGTCTTCAGGTTTTTGAACACTGATGCCTCGGATGCTTCGCTGGTTTTGGACGACGCCAGCTTGCTGTTAACGAGGTGAATGGAAAACGGACATTTGTTTGTGAGGTAGGTACTTCAACCGGGGAAAACATCCAACACCGCCGACTACGATGGCTCGCTGATGTGCCATGCACGGTCACATCACCATCCACCGAGGTGAGGTTCTCCATAACTACTTCGGAATAGCGCAAACTGCGAGGTGTCCGCCGCTTGACTAGGCAGATGGGCGTTAAAGAGATCACGAAGAGTTTGAGTGTCTTTGGTGTTGTACGCCTTCCAGGATGGGGTTCCCCTGATCCCATCTGTGCTTGGCTGGATACGTCGCAAAAATGGCGGCTAATCGATGTCAGTGGCGTCCATGCAGTCATTTCTTTCCAGACTGTCTGAATAGCACTTGGATGCGCAAGCATTTCAGAATACTTGACGGGGCCAGCGCTAAGCCCTCTCTCTCTTTCTCACTCATTCGTTCTCTCTTTTTTACTCTCGTGTTTTACATATAATCAAACGAAACTTATGGTTGTACGGCAGCGAATCATCACTGTCAACACTGATGTTGCTGTCTTGGATGATGATGAGTTTGGGGCATATTAAATCCACCGCTTGTGATTTCAGCTTTGGATTTACTGAACGAAGCATTAATTTAGCTAGCTACCTCGCCTCTATTAGTTTCTTATTTGAGAAACTGCAGCGCTTACTTACCGGACGTTTGTAGAATATTTAATGAAAGGATACAGAAATTCAGATATACCATTCTGCTGCTAATCCATTACATCTAAAATTTTTCACTATTCTTCTCGAAATATGTGTGCTTATTTCCATGGAATTTCAATAATTGGTGGAAATTGGGAAGATAGTCAACCGGCGCGACAATTTCTGCTACTCGCATCGTATTTCAGTAGTTCAAGAATCGAGCAGAAGAATCGAATCAGAATCGAGCAAGTTGATTACGCGTGGTATTTCTAATGATGCGGGCATATGTTTATTCGAAAGTGCATCGTTATGCCGTTGATTTGTGGGCCATTGATTGTGTTAATTTCGGACATCGCCTAGTGCTGGTCGTCAGCATCTGCCTCCCCCATTGTCGTTTTGAGTGGTGCCAAAAATTTCAAAAGTGGCAATCGAGTATGCAGTAACCATGAAATCTGCGAATGTTCTTCGGTGTGTAATAACGAGAGCCTTGTTGAGGTTGTTTTTGATTAGGGTATGCTTGCATGCATATGGCTGCAGAGAAGTTGGCGGTTAAAAATGGGTGATTTAAAAAATGTAATGAGAACAACATATTTTCTGGATGCATCTACTTGGAGCATTCTGGTCCACAGCAAAATCCGCGAAACCGGATATCCTGGGTAGAATAAGAACGCTGAGTGTTTTCTGTGTAACATGGTCTGGACAAAACGATCATGCTGAACACACAGTCACGGCGAAGTTATGCTCAGTTCTTAGCACTGGATTTGGGGGCGCAGTTTATTAGTATCGCAACGATCTAGAAGAAATGACAAACGTCAGCACTGTGTACGTTGCAATCAAGTATTCTGTGATCAACCAATCTAGATTTCTCCAGATTAAGACCAAGTCACGGTACGCTTCACGAAATAGCTCGCAAATGAATCACAGATTACCTCTCAGTTCTGTGGATGTGGATCACAAAAGAGTTGCAGATGCACTTTTAGATACAGTGACAATTAACGAAGAATGACACTGCCGGTGGACCTGCTCTGCGTACCGCTCAAATCTTGAGCTATACCACACATTTTCATGTCTGCACTATATATGATGCGTTTTGCAACAGCGGTATTGTAGTGTAACAAACGCACGGAACTAAAAATCCGGATCGTTTTGGGGTTTATCGCTGGACCTAGTCTGAAAGAGGCTTTCAAGTGTTTTCAATAAAAGCGCCTGGATAATTACTTGGCCATAAAAGAATTTCAAACCAAACGGTGTGGGTCATTGGGATAAAGTGTGAGCCGGTTAGTTTTTGTATTGCACTGGAGAAGATCCGGTACAGTGTAACTCCGATTTTGGTTTGGCTTATCCAAGTCCTACAGTGTGGCACAACTAACAACTACGGAATTGAGTTTCTGTAGTTACTTAACGATGGTTCCGACAGGGAGAAATTTTGGGACTCGTTTGAAATGATACCATTGGTATTTGATAGGTGTTGGGTTCATCTGATGCATGTCATAGTACTTTTTTCACAGGCCTAATTCCAACCGATTACATAAAGTTTCCACAGTGTGGCGCCTGCCCACATCCTGCTGTTTAATTCATCTAACCTTATTTACAATGACTATTCGTTGTGACTAGTTCAGTTAAAATAATGATCTGATAGGTATCCGGTTGTATGTGCGCGAACGGCACGTGGTTGAAATACTGTAGGCCGATTCAACGAAACGGTGAAATAAGACACCCCGTTGACCTGATTGCTACTCAGGTAAGAACCATTGTGGATTCTTCCGAGGTGTTAGCCGGTGAGCACCATTGTTTTTTAATAATAAGCCCTGGAGTACCTTGCGTCCATTTAGCCCTTGTGGATAATCATTCTGTGTGTCTAGACATACTGAAACTCCTAGGCAGTTGACGTCTCGACCAGTCGGCTAAGAGCGTGAGTAGTTCACACTTAGATGGCAACTGGATGGACCTGGTTTAAACACTATTTTGCGTTTTGCACACACCTGGGATGTTGTGACAATTTGAGGGCCAGAAGAAATCCTTGGAGTGGAAGATTTATGGGATAGCCTAAGAGTTGGACCAATGGCAGCCACTTATACTTGTGTTGATCCCGTGATAATCATGTTGCTACTGATAAACATGTCCACTACATGGAAAACGCTGCACTATCTATATCGGTCAACAACCAAGGTGTTGGCCAACGCAAAATTGACGGAACGCGCCTTGGACTGATCACCAGTCTGCCAGAACTCAACAAGTCACCACATTTGAAATAAATCCATATCTAACTGGAGAGACCTTCATGATAAACTTTGACTAGGGTTTACCAAGAAATCTTTCTCTTTTGTGTTATGGAACATCAAGTAGTATGGAAAATATCGCCTGATGAACGGGGGCGGATGGATGAATGATTGTGTTAAGCTGTTACGTCTTGGTAGGCCCAAAGATTCAGCAAGCCCATTGAAAGATTTATCTGTACAAACGAGGTACTTTAGTCACGGTAGGACCTACTGGTTTCAATGACATGTGAATTGGACAGTAGGAGGTCTTGAACCCTATGCCGGTCTGTCACGCAAACGCTGAGGTCTGATTCACAAATTGGGCAGCTGTATTAGTAAGTTCCGGAAATGAACTAAAATTCGCGTATCACGTAATTTAATCGCATTAAAATGACTAAATACGGATCATTTATGTATCAGTGAACAAAACATCATACATTCTGTTCGGTTTTCCTCGTTTTCACATACACATCGAGATTTGTTGAAAATGTGCCCGCTAGTGAGTATTCCTATAATTGCCCACCTCTTCCATGACCGTCAACCGTCAACCTGCTGCTGTAACAAGTGATAATCCTACGACATGGGTGTTTGGTTGTCCATCCATGGTTGTTCATCTAGGAGAAGCCATTAGATTCGAATAGGCCCTGTGCATACTGGAGCTGGTGTTTGAAAAGCGAGCCTTCAAACCGAAGCACCATCAACCAATTGGACGTTTATTAGGACTGACCGCGTAGTAAAGCGCTTTCCAAGGTAGATCACCATATATTTTTTCCTCCCCCCTTTCAACACGGATCACAATTCTGTGGTTTGTGATCTTCATCTTGGCGTTAGGTACACAGTTTCGCGCTAAACAAATTCGAAATCACTAAGCACTAAAGTTTTGTTTTGATACGCGCATCTCCCTT